TTTTATTTTTATCGACATTATTTCATGATAAACAAAAGTGCGTGTATCAGTGCATCTACCATTGGGGAGAAAATGTCAGCAGAGAAAACGTAGAACTTATTCATTTCGTGATCCTGACATGTTCCCAAAAATGTGAATACTATGAATACTACTACTATTGCCAATAATAAAATGTGTGCGTGTGTGTGTGCACACACTAGGTATACTATATTATGTAAGTATTATTACTACATTTGTAAAAATTGCTTTGACTAAAATATGAGACATACCAGGTATGGATTGGAGGCTTTTGATCTTTAAAACTGTTTTGCTTCAGACGCCTTTAAAAACAATAATTTTTCTTGAAAAAAGAATGAAATTTAACGAGTCGTCTCTAAACGGAGCTCAATACAAACGAGGTTTTCCACCTGTTCGTTAGAAGGCCCTAAGCAATATCCAGTGTAGACAAGGAGATCGATGCATGCATGGTCCCCCGTTTCTGTAACATCCACGTGCCTCATCCTTCCTGCCTGAATGGGCTGGGGCGTCTGGTCTAAATCTCTTTCTGATGAGAAATAAAAACTTCAGTGCCCTTCTTCAGTAACGCTTCACACAGAAGCAAGTGAATGCAGCGTGCTTTCCAACAAGACCATGGAAAAATACTGTTCTGGCCATTTATTCCCCTTCTCAATAAAACAGGAGCTCATGCGTGAGCTTGCGTGGGGAAGAGACGGCGTTGAGACACCGAATGGCAGCTCCATTTTCTGACAAAGTCCTGGAGGGCCGGATCCTCACCTGATGACACGGCATCCTGCAAGTCGAGAGCCCGACGCCAATGCATTGCAGCCGGCAGTTTAGGCCGTGATTTCTCACTCGTTACTGCATAAAGTGCCTCGAGATGTCTTTCGCACTCACTGCACCATACAAAACCAAATTCTTAGGAAAAAAAAAGAAATAAAAAAGCACCTTTCCACTTTGCCAATCAAGAAATATACATTCCAGGACACCAGGAAACTGGATAATGATATTATGTCCAAAGAAACGACTAGGACTTCCTAAACAAATGTTAAATGATCTTAAAGCACAAAAAAAAGGACTTTTTTTTTTTTTTTTTTTCAATGGGCTTTAGAAAACACAAACTCCTCATCCAGGAATGGCCTGAGTGCACTTCATTAGTCAGGAAAGAGCCACAGTCTATCAGTCAGAGCCATCAAAGTGAGAGAAAAGCAAAAATGGGACACACAAGTAAAATCAGCCAGTGATTGTGCTGGAGACAATGATGGCCTTGTTATGAAAACCCTTCAGGACAAAATCAGAATTGGTCGGTAAATACTGCCGCGCTGTAGCACCAGCGGATTATTTTCTGTTAACATCCTCATGCAAGTCTTTAAGAACTACAGCGTAAACTGATGAAACGTAACATCTTGTGTTTTATGCCAATTTTCAATGCAAAAAAATAGAAAAAGAAAAATACCTTGCAAACCGCCCCACCCAAACAACAAGCAAGCGGCCTGAGTAAGGCCTCGATCAGGATTTCCAGAGCCGGCTTCTTAGACTTATGACCAAACTTGGTTTATGAACATGGCTGGAGGATGTCTAGTTTTGCTGTACTCAAACCAAATGGGCCAGCTGTTTAGAGCCTCGTGCTAATAACACCTAGGTCGCAGGTCTGATCCCTGTTTGGACTAGATGATCTTGTGACATCCCTTCCAACCTGACTTCTCTAGAATAGCCAAGTCATCCCCCTGGCATCCACAGGCTGTTCTCCCAGTGCTGAATGGGAAAGTGGGATATCAGCTGTTTCTGCAATGGCACCTCTGCTGCACACGCAATCTGCACTTGAGAGAACAAGCCAGTCGACAGCAACAGGATGTCCCTCATCAAACCATTTCTTCCCGTGGTACCACCTACAGGGGAACCTGCTCAGGAGATAATGCAACCGTATGCCCTGTTCGCTTTGGCGTGGCACCCTCCACGCTATGCAGCACCTCTGTCCCCGAGAGCCAGAGCCAGTGGAGCTGTGTCAAGCAAGAGCGCTCGGAGGATGTGAAACACGGGTCTCCCAAAAAAGGGGTTGCACTGTTAAAGTTACCGATGCCAATACCAAACACTCAAGCCTAAGGTGCACTCGTATCTCTCACTGCCCTGGAAAAATCTGGTGGGAAGGGCATGGGAGGTCCCTGCAGAGCACGTCCTCCTCCCAGACCCTTCCTGCAAGCTCTTCCATAGCAGGTGGCAACGTGTCGCCTATGTTACCCGCCCAGGTACGGCAGGAAACGTTGCCACCTTGCCAACAGCCGACATGTTCCAATACCCTGTCAGATCTCCTGCCCGTGTCTGAACAACCCCATCCGCATTAATTCAAGTTGGTGGTTAAAAAAAGGCCGGGTGAGGCACACCAGATGGCAGAAGACAGATACAGTATCCCATTTTCTCATGCTGTGCGAGAAAACGGCTTCACTTTCCACTGTTTCACCATGCTGCTCTCCAGCTTTCAGCCCATCTCCAGTGCATACATTATTAGCATTATTATCCAAATATCCAAGGTTTCCATGTTTTTGTTTCCTCCTCTCAAATTTTGTGTATTTCAGTTTCTGCCGCAGTTATTTAGGCAACAAGGCACAATGAGGGTGTGATTGCTGCGAGATAATCACACCCTCAGGGTGTTATTAAGCACAAGGCTATGCCTTGTGCCTCCTATTCTCCAGGGACGTGATTATATCATGATAACCACACTCCCCAGAGACACCTTATTGCAATTATGACATTTCTTTCAGGTTTATGTATGAATACATTATTTAAGAAAATTACTTTGATCACTAGAAACTTCCACTTAGTGTTCAAATGCTTAAACTGGATAGTTTACAGAGATGAGGTTCCTCCTTTACAACCTTTGACAGGAAAAGAGACCGGGCATGAATGGGAACTGCATGGTAGTGGAGGTCTGCTCATCAAAATACATTTATATTTGCTCTCATAAGAATTAACCAATATATTTACTCCATATTCTGACTTCTCCACTCTTTGGGCTTTGCTCCTGCTCCCTACCACCTGCCACACAAACCTCTCCCAAAACTAGTTTTAAGTAGAAACAGTGATATATAAAGGGACATATACCCCTGTCCCTTTAAAGAAGAATTTCACTAGTAGCGCAATATTAAGAACTGGGATACAAGGATAAAAGAAGAAACGCAGTTTGGGAATCTGAGTGAGGACTGAAGCTAATGCTTTCTCTGGCACCGACTTGCTTCATGGCCTTGTGCAAGTCATTTAACCCCAGCGTTTGGCAGCCTCCGTGATGGAGTTGATGAAGGTTTCTCACAGGAGTGCTGGCCTGCACTCAGAGTTTGCACTGCTACAAGCAAATGGAGTGAAGAAAACTGGCTTTATGGGTTTAACCAAATAGTTTGAGTTTTCCCCTGACACTCACCCACCCATTTGGTGAAAATACCGAGTCTAAGCTTAAAGATAATTCAGTGGATGGGTCAAATCAATGCAGTGGCAGGAAGGGTGGCGACAACTTCTCTCGTAGGGGGAGGAAAAGAGTTAACGGGCCAGCCTAACCCTATGAGTGGCTCGTGCCAGCCATCAAGCAGAGGCCAGGAAGGCTCTGAAGAGAGCAGGGATCCTACAGGGCCCGGTGGAACCACACTGGGCAACCACAGCAAACACCTGGCCCCTGCAGAGGTGCTCCTTACCCAGCCTTGGGACTGCTTTGCTAGTCGGCGCAATGGTTTCCAGGTCCACGTGGGGCATGTATTGCTCCTCACGTTGCTCTCAGGAAAGCTCCAGCTCATGCAGTGAATAGACAGAGCTCTCTCCAGCACCAAGGAAACCAGAAGAGAGCATGCAGGTACCACTGTGGGGAGGCTGTTCAAGTATCTCGCGAGACAGATGAGTCCTGCGAGCCTTG